CCTGGGAAGTTGCAGAGGCGGTGATCATTGCTGCCGCTGCTTCAGCTCTAGCGTGTGCAACTGCTGCTGCTGCTAAAGACCTCTCTGCCTCAGCTGCTGCTGCCTGTGCTCTCTGCAAATGCCTCCTCTCCTCAGCTTCTCTCTGTAGTCTCCTCCCCTCACCTGGCCCAAGAGACAGGTAAGTGATCGGCTGACTAAGTACCCCCTGTCAGGTAGTTCTCCGTCATCTCTGGTCTAGTCTCTCATCCTTGCTGTCGTCTTCACTCATCAGCAACACTCAGATTGCGATCTGCACTAGCGTCCTCGCTGGGACCTACCACAACATGGCATCCGACCGATGCTAAAAATAAATAAAATAAAATAAAATAATTGTTTTGTCCAGCTATAACAGGAAGCAGTCAAGCGGTATCAGCAGATATGTTCAGACCCCTACAAACGATCTTATTCCTACTTTGACTAGTTCTCATTCAGATGCAATGCAGAGAAGAATAGTTAAGTACTCTAACTACAGCAGTCTGTCAGATGTTGCAGTCCGTCACACCTAACTAATAAAAAATTAACAATAAAATCACTTGCAAGGTGGATGGCCGTTGGCTCAGTGGTTAGGGCACTGGTTGAAAATGTGCATTGTGGTATGATTTTGCAGGTCCAAAACTTCTTTGCCTCGTGCACGTACACTGGCAGCCCTTTCGTAGTGCACAAGCCATTCACACACTCCCCCTTGGGCTGACACAAGGTAATTATTACAGACACTGCCGGCGCACCACCCAAGGGGTTTAGTCCATGGTTGCAGAATGCTGGTAGCAGGGCCTTGGGGGAGGGCTGTTTGCGTGGTTGGCCTTGGGGTGGTCCAACGAGTGTGTGTGGGTGTGGGTTGTGTGGGTGTGGGTTGTGTGTAGTGTGTGGTCCAGTGATCTCTGGGTCATGTCTCGTGTGCTCAGCATGGGCGGGGTAGAGGACGTAGGTTGGGTCGAGGTCTTAGGTCTAGATTAGGTTAGGTAGGAATCTGTGTAGAGATTGTGGGCCTGTCTGCGCACAGCCTCGTTCGTATGCACGGCTCTGTGGGTGTGTCATGGGTGTGTCTGGGTACTGTGGTAGTTTCCCGGCCTCATGGTACACCGTCGAGAGTCCATACTTACATTGTACGATCCTGGTTCCGGTCTGGCTCCGCTCTCTACACCCCCCTTGAGTAGTAGTAAGGGTTGAGTGTTAGACATATACGATTCCCAAGGGTGGGCCTCATGTCTATCTTACAATGGTTGCAGGCTGGCCTTCTTCCTGGCTGGTAGCTGTCTGCGTTCCCATTGAGGGGGTCGATTGGGGCGTGAATCTGGGGAAGGGTCTCTGGGTAGGGGTCTCATCTTAGGGAGGGGAGGGTGGGTCGTCACATCGATAGTAGAAGGGTGGTAGACACCCATAGAGTCTGCTAGATGTGATACAGGTGGGGAATGACGAGGTATCCCCTGTTATGTGCCTGATTGAAAACGAAATCCAGCATGCCATTCACACGTTCCCATACACATGCGGGAGGCAAGTAGACTTGGAGAGAGAAATTCACACCAAACCAGGTGGTGATATTACACAGCGGAAGCACTCAAAACCATTAATAGAATTGAATTTAATTCAATTCTTATTATCCCGTCTCTCTCTCCAGTTCCATCCACAACACGAATTCCAAGAATCCCAACCACGTTATCAACACCCACGGACCAATTATATACAAAGTTTCATCGAAATAAACAGGAGTCTTCTTCTTCCTCCCTCTTCCTCAATCTCTAGCTATGGCCCCACTTCCAGACAAGCCTGCAAACGTCATGCACCCTCCTGAATCCAACACGTCACTCTGCGCGACTCACGAAGCCCATCTGCAGATTGTGTCCACTCAGCAGGGGAGCGCAGTTCCCAGGATGAAGAAGAAGAACACCAACTCGATGAAGATGAAGGCCTGCCACTTCGAAGATGTGCAAAAGCTGCTTCGATGGCAGCTGCCTTAACCCCAACAGACACACCAGTAGGAGGAATCGCCCATCAGCGCCTACGGCCCACAGCCCGACGCTGTCAACACTGGAGCTGGCCGGTCTCAGCTATGGCTGCCAGCGGCATGTGGAGAAGATGCCCTGCTTACATGCCCACAATAGCACAGCAGGGAAGCAACGGGACCTCCACCAAGACCGTGAAAAGAAAAGCAACGAAAAGAACCAAAAGAACCCGTTCTCCTTTGCACCCGACAATTTTGTAGACTTAGGTTTTGACTGACTTGACTCACACAACGAAACACAACCACAACCCTACAGGTTGCGGGATCGAGTCCTGAAGAGCACAAGAACATACAACAGCAAATAAGTCTGGAAAAGAAACGAACTACCAAAAGGCCTGGGAACAAACTACCAAAAGGCCTGGGATCGAGTCCCGGCACAGACCAAATAACAAAACACTCACCAAACTGGCAGATCCAGGGATCAAAACCTGCCATGCTCACAACCACAAAACCCACAAGACATACGACTTAGTATACAGCCCCACTGGGAAACTGCTATTTATTGCAATGCCCCCTGTAGGAAACTGTCCTTGGGGCTGTCACAAGCCATCTGATCTCCCCACTGGTCCAGTACAACGAAAGGCACCCTCTGAGGGCTAGCATCCAGCCTCTTCTATGATCTGGACTTAAAAAAAAAAAAAAAGCAAAAAAAAAAGGAATGTATGCTGAATGGATATTATACGGAAATCGACGAACGAACAGCCAACTGGAATCAACCCTCCCCCTAGTCCTTCATTGTCATTTGATGTCGACATCCTGAACGTACTGGTTTTAGCGCTGTGTCAAAGGTGTGCACACGGCCCACCCCTGTGCACACGGCCCACCCCTGTGCCCCAGGTCAATGCAAGACCGGCCAGCCCGGTCTGTACCATTTTTAAACTCACGTACAGTGTGATGCGAGGCCACTGCCTCTATGAGCCCCAATCGGCCCCTTTTTGGGAGCCTGTCGGCCGCCCTAAGTGAAGGCAGGCTCGACGAGGCCCCTCAGGGCCTTATTTCGGCCACTGCGCAACCAAGGAAATTCAGGCAGTTGCGCAGCGCCAGTTGGTTGAGAAAACCCAGGCCCTGGACTGCCTGTGTGAATGAATGGAAAGCAGGCCCTGGGCTGGATACGGGTACTGGGCCAAACACATGCCAAAGGCAGTTGGGTGCATTCAACCACCTCAGGCCCCAGGCCTGTTCTCGATCGTGCTGGGCCTCAGGCTACCGGGGCCTACTGGAAGCTTCCTGGGACTGGATGCAAGCAGGCCACTTCGATATAGCAAAGGGCCTGCCTCCTCATTCAGTATTCGGGTGCTGGCTGCATGCTGCGCAAGCGCTGCTCCGCTATTTGCTGGCTGGCGCCTACGCGCTCATGGGCGAGCAGGGAAGGAGCAGGCAGCCATAGCCGAGCTGCGCCGCTGTAAGCTGGGTGTTGCGCAGGGTGGTCCTTGGGTGCAAGTGACATCTGTGTGTTGGGGAACGAGGTTGTGAGTGAGGCGAGAGACATACCTGGTGCTGGAAGCGTGCGACATTGGTCGCTGTATGCTCGTACTTCGGAAAGTTGTTGTCGTCAACATCCGGCATTGTAGTCTAGGCTAGATAGGATCTGCCATCTGTAGTTTGGGCGCCGAGCGCCAGATAGGATATCAACATTGGTTCTTCATTGATGATGATGATGATGAGACTCTACCAGCATTGTCAATTTTGAGCTCTTGGTGTCTTCTTATTTGGTGAAACTCGTGATGCAATTCTGCTGATTGGTTTGAGGTCACGATTATCTGGTCTTGTGTATATGGTGCTGTTTGATTGCTGAAGTTCGCTATTGCTCATCTTCCGTGCAATTTGGTATCGGAGCTGTGGTACGATTGCGCTCATCTGGCGCTTGTTTTCTGCCTTATGCGGTACATACATGCGGTCTGCTTGGCGAGTTTGGCCGTAAGTGGTGTGTAGTGAGGAGGGTGGAGACAAGTGATTGGCGACCTAGGAGGTGAGGGGATCACCAGGAAGGCTACGAGGTGTAATGTGGGTCTGGACAGTGTGATGAGAACTATCTAATGTGCGATTGGTGCTGAGGTGGAACGACGCGCAATGCTGGTTGTGCCGAAGCAATGACTTGTCATCACAATCGGCATCTGGTCATCTGGTGAGATTATTCTGTGGTTGGGGCTAGCTATTTGAGGTACGTTGCTCTTAACCTTATCTACCCTCTTCGACACTTCTTACCGTGAGCTAGTGTGTTCCTTCTTGAGAGTCCTCTCATTGTGAGGTGTCGAGTGCGCTCAACCTTGAGAGTCGGCAATGTTCACGTGGAGCATCTGGGAGAAGATGGGCGGAGCTTTCTGAAGGGCCTTGGACGAAGCACTGGGTCACGGTCACCATGCCAACCCACCGGGAGTAGAGCAAGCATGCTTTGCTGCTTGTCCTTGTTTGGCTTGCTGCGCTGTTAGATGGGTGATGAAGGGCAGGCCAGCCCTAAGTGGGAGTCGAGAACCGGGCGTCTTTAAATAAACACCGGTAGGGGAAACCATTGGCTGTGATGGTCGTCCGGCTGCGACGGAAAATAATTCCTGGAGTCACTTGGGGGCGGACGTTGGGTTGCCTCTGGATCAGCCAATGGTTGTAAGGCTCGCTGCACGAGAGGATAATCCAGTGCAGGGCTGGCCAGCTCAGCAGATTACTCGGGGCACAGGGGTGGGCCGAACACACACCTTTTAGACACGCAACGCTCTCCGGATTGCTCAGGGATGCTGACGTCAAGTGACATTCAGGGGAACTAAGGGAGGGGTAGATTTCAGGTGATAAGTTCGAGAAAAAATCCATACTGTCCTATCCACACAAATGATTCTATTTTTATGTTTTGATTAGTTAGATGTACAACCATTTGACATCTGACAGACAACATAAGTAGAACTGTATCTGTTCATTGTGCATTCTGTTCGTGGACTAATCAGGTTAAGAATAGTTTCGTTTGTAGGAATCTTACCTGTTGACCCCAAATGTATCTACTCCGAAATAGCCACCAATAAATTGGTTTGTGCACTACACTGCGGTAGGCACCCATAGTGCATTAGTGCAGATTGTGTACAGTGCTGTAGCTTATGAGCGACGAGGAGGACACTAGAGAGGACGACCGAATCTTGCGATCGGCAAGGCGCCCGATTGCCCACTTGGCATTAGGACCAGAGGGTGACAGGTACCTGTTCCGCCAGCGTAGAGATAGGTTGCAGCAGCAGAGGAGGGCTAGAGCAGCAGAGGCTAGCCGGGCACTTGTGAGTGAAGCCGCAGCTTCAGAAGCTATGGCTACTTCTACACAGCAGACTACTCAGGCCGGTAGTTCAAGATCTGTCGGGTCAACGGTCGCGCAGACCCAGAGTCAGTCCACTGGCGTAATGGCAAGCCAGCCCATAGTGTTGACTTTCGATGAGATCGCCATACAACAAACAACATTGCAGGAGGCACAACTACAAAAGGCATTATGAGAGATAAAAGCGGAGAAGGAAAGGATGATTAGAAGAAGAGCCAGGATGCAGCGGAGACAAGCGGACGTTAGTGAGTTAGAGGAGATGGACTTGACGCACGTGACTGATGACGCAAGGATCATACAGTCCGTCCTGCTAAATGTAGTTGAGATGTAGGACCATCGAACAACCATCCTTCAGGACATTCAACAAAATCTGGCCCTGTTGGTTGGGCGAGCGCAGGCAACGTCACGAATGTCCGGGCCTGGTGCCTGGCCCGTTGTACAGCCTCCTCCTTTTGTCCCACCGGTGACTGGGGTATCCCCATATGTAGCCCCATCATCAGTTGCGATTGTTTCCCTGGGCATGCCGCTATCAAGAGGGGTATCAGCAGGATCTAGTTTGCAGGTTCCTGTACAGACAGTGTTCACCCAATCTCCGTTGCAGGTTGCGGTTACCACGCGGCCTGCTGTCTCGCAGTCTGTATAGCCGCAGGGTACACAACCCTAGCAGCTAGCACAGCAACCGGTGTCATAGGGTCCACAACCTGGAGTGATGCAGGGACCGGGACAAACACAGTGGGTACCAAAGACGGCCATCGTCGCTCCTAAACCCTTCACAGGGGATAAGAGAGGCGAAGACCTTGACACATGGTTGAGGGCAGTGCCGGTCTATGTCAAGTGTAAGCTTACCTTGCCGCACGAGGAAGTGCTTGCGGCTGCATCCTATCTAGAGGGTAGTGCAACAAGATGGTTGAGCGGTTTGGTGCAACTACAGGGATACGGTCACGACTTCCGCTCTTGGGCACGCCACCAGAAACTCGAGGACTTCCTCAAGATGGTGGAGGAAAGGTGGCATGATCCTCAGGAGGCTCAAAAGGCCACTGACTCGATCTTGATACTGCACACGAGGCAGTTTAAGTCAGTCAGGGAGGCCACCGACGCTGTAGAGCGTCTGATCTGTGTCCCTGGGGTGCGCTATGTCCCCCAGGTTTTACTCACCTCCTGCCTGAGATGCTTTCCAACGCCTCTCAGGAATCAGTTGGCAGGTGAGGCCGACATCAATGTTCACGACTTCCCCTCGTTTAGCAAGAAGGCCCTAGACCTTGAGGCGAAGATAGGGCATGGACATAACCCCACAACGGACGGTAGGAAGAAGACACTGCCTCCCAACTGGAAGGCGAAGGGTCGCATTATGTTTGTCGATAATGATGGTTCAACCATTGAGCTAGACGACAACTTCCAAGCAGGAGTAGGTTCAGAGGCTGGCAGCATAGAAGCTTCAAAGGGTGGAGTAGTCGTTGCCGTAGCTCAAAAAGGTAAGGCGATCGGTAGACGCCGTGGAGGTTCCCGGTCTAGGTGTCAAGTTGACCCCAATGCTCCTCCATGGGAGAAAGCGGGTCTCACAGAGGACGTGTGGAGAGATCGGTACACACGGCAGGCTTGCATTCGTTGTGGCCAATACGGCCATAACCAGTTTAAGTGTCGAAACAAGAAGGTCATCAAGAAGATCCCGCCTACGATGGGGCAGGCGTTGGGATCCTCCCATCCCGTTGGTAGCAACATAGCTAGTACTTCTTCTAGTGCTCCGGGAAACACGTCGGGGCAGTAGGAATAGTAGTTGTTCCTGCTAGGGTCGAGGTGGTGGAGACACCCTCACCATCTCGAGAGATGGCCCAAGCTACTGACTCCAACATCGTCCCGCAAACACGTTCAGACCCATCGAGCCTCTGTTTGATGAATGTGTTTGAGTCCTTAGAGGAGCTAGAGGAGTGGTCTAGATCAAACCCGCTAGCTACTTGGACGGCCCTAGTCAAAGCCCCGAAGGGTGAGATGTTCGTCAGCGAGGTAGTCATTGGCGGCCGCAAGGCCGGGGCCTATTATGACACTTGCTCGACTAGGAACTTTATTAGTCGCGTGTGCGTTGAGAGGCTGCGCTTATAGGGGCGAGTGCAGCGCCTGAGTCGACCTGTGGAGTCGACCTGTGCCAACAAACAGTGGATGGTAGTCAATGACTACCTCCAAGATGTGGAGTGTTGTTTCCCGTACGCGGGAGGGGAATTGAGACATCGTGTCTCGTTCGTAGTGAGCGATGAACTCCCCATGGACATGTTGTTAGGTATGTACTATCTCTCTGTAGCACAGCCCCAGTCTGACTGGGATCGAAAAGTGGTCAAACACACTTTGCCAGGTGAAGTACCCTGATCTATTTGAAGAGCTGACAGGGGTTGTAGAGAGGGAACTACCTCCAAGATGTGGAGTGTTGTTTCCCGTACGCGGGAGGGGAATTGAGACATCGTGTCTCGTTCGTAGTGAGCGATGAACTCCCCATGGACATGTTGTTAGGTATGTACTATCTCTCTGTAGCACAGCCCCAGTCTGACTGGGATCGAAAAGTGGTCAAACACACTTTGCCAGGTGAAGTACCCTGATCTATTTGAAGAGCTGACAGGGGTTGTAGAGAGGGAGGTCGTCCACGCGATAGAGATTATCCCAGGGTCTAGCATCCTGAAGGGTAGGATCTATCGGATGTCTCCAAGCGAGCTCGATGAGCTTCGCCGACAGCTCAAGGAACTCGTAGAGAAGGGTTGGGTCCGACCGAGTGTCTCTCCTTATGGATCTCCAGTACTATTCATACCTAAGAAGAAGGAGGGAACACTTAGGATGTGCATTGACTATAGGGGCCTCAATGCCATCACTGTCAAGAACAGAGAGGCCCTACTGCGGATCGACGATTTGCTAGATAGAGTGCAAGGGTGTCGGTACTTCAGTAAGATAGATCTGAAGTCCGGGTACCATCATATTGCAATTCGTCCCGAGGGTCAACACAAAACCGCCTTTCAGACCAGGTACGGTCTGTACGAGTTTGTGGTGATGCCTTTCGGTCTTTGCAATGCTCCTGACACCTTTCAACAAGCTATGAATCGGATATTCCATGACTACTTGGATAAGTTTGTCATCGTGTACCTCAATGGCATACTTATTTTTAGTAAGACTGTCGAGGAGCACGTTGCGCACTTGGACAAACTCCTCCGTCTCTGGCGACAACACAAGTTCAAGATCAACGGTGAGAAGTGCGAGTTTGGCTGCACCCGTGTCTTATACTTGGGTCATGAGATTTTGGTGGAAGGGTTGAAGCCCGATGACGCGAAGGTGGCCAGCATTCGTGACTGGCCGCGTTCTCAGTCTGTGACTGAGATGAGATCTTTCTTCGGGATGATCGGCTACTATCGCAATTTCGTGAAGAGCTATAGCATAGTTGCCGCCCCTTTGATTGATCTGACGTGCCTTGACACCGCATGGGAGTGGACTGAGAGATGTGAGGCTGCTTTCAGACATCTGAAGCATTAGTTGACGCATTGCGAAGTCTTGAAACTTCCTGATTTTGATAAGCCATTTATGGTAACTGCGGATGCTAAGCCAATATGGCATAGGCGCCGTACTTGCACAACAGGAGGGGAAAAAGTTGAGGCCAGTAGAGTACATGTCCAAAAAGATGCCCTCTCAGAAGTTGGCTAAGTCCACCTATGAGAAGGAACTCTATGTGGTTTACAAGGCTCTGACCCATTGGAGACACTATCTCCTTGGGAGGTTCTTCATCCTCAGGACTGATCATCAAACATTGAAATGGATGAGAACTCTACCGATGCTCTCTGACGCTCTGAAGCGTTGGATCGAAGTCATAGAGTAGTATGACTTTGAGTCTCAGTACATCAAGGGCGAGTACAACAAGGTTGCTGATGTCTTGTCGCGTAGACCAGATTTCTCTGGTGCGTTGATCACTGAGTTTGGGCTTGCGGACAATGTTACTCAGTCCATGGTGGAAGCCTATCGTGAGGATCAATTTATGTTAGAGATCATATGCAGACTGGAGGCGAAGGACAAAAAGACTTCAGGCGAGTTTGAGTTGGTTAACGACTTGCTGTTCCTTGAGAAGGCTGGGAATAAATGTTTGTGTGTACCGAATAGCGAGTCTTTGCGTAGTTTGTTTTTAGGCGAGTGCCATGATGCCACCGACCATTTTGGGTACAAGAAGACCGCGACCAATCTGCTGCAGCGGTTCTGGTGGCCCACATTGATGAGAGATGCTAAGTTATACGTGGAGACTTGTTAGGTCTGTCAGAGGGACAAGTCACGTACTCAGGCTCCTCTTGGGCTGCTGAAGCCCCGTCCGATTTCGGAAAGGCCTGGTGAGAGCTTGTCCATGGACTTCATGGATACGCTGGTCACCAACAAGAGTGGAATGCGCTACATCTACGTCATTGTGGATTGGTTTAGTAAGTTTGCTAGACTAGTTGCGATGCCGACAACATCTAAAACGAAGTACGTGATTAAGATGTTCAAAGAGATTTGGGTTAGAGACTTTGGATTACCTAATCCATAGTTAGTGACAGGGATGTCAGATTCACAAGTGAGTTGTGGAAAGCAGCAGCTGCAGAGCAAGGTACGCAACTGCAGATGACATCAGGCAATCATCCTGAGGCAAACGGGCAGGCTGAACAAATGAACCGCGCTATACAACACTTGCTAAGGTATTACATCAAGCCAAATCAGGTAGATTGGGATGAGAAACTTGCTCTCATCGCAAGTTTGTACAATAAGGCTGTGCACAGCGCAACCGGGGTCAGTCCTAACAGCCTGCTACTCACCTTCAGACTCCGACTGCCTTTAGACTTTCTACTACCTGACAATCAGCCAACCGCTGCACCTGGGACTTTAGAGTTTGCTTATCGATATGAGCAGCTGATGCGGCAGGCTGTTGAACAGATGCACAAGGCACAGGTGGCGATGATAGAGTCTGAGAACAAACACCGCCGCCCCTCTACGTTTCAAGTAGGAGAGAGAGTTTGGGTCAAGTCCTCAGAATTGGGACAGGAGCACGGGATCTCCCGCAAGCTCATGCCACAGTACTTTGGACCGTGGGAAGTATTGGATGTCGTAGGGAATGAACCGGATGGTCCGTCTTATGTTATTCGCATCCCTGGTCACTTAGGCACTTACCCTGTCTTTCACGCCTCAGAGCTTGCACCTTTCAAAGAAACAGATCAGTTTCCATCTCGTCGTTCAATGCTGCCCCAAACCATGGATGGAGAGGTCGACATCGACGATGTTGTTGATCACCGAGAGCTGCCAGTTCCAAGAACAACAGGCAGGGGACGTCCTCCTAAACCGAAGCTGGAGTACCGCGTTCGGTTCCGACATCATACTGATCCTAAGGAGGACCGCTGGTTCACCAGGGAGGAACTCATGCAGACCGCTCCGCAAGTTGTAGCCCACTGCGAGAAATCTCTACAGAAAGGAAAGCGCCCGATGGTCGAAGACTGAGCTTCTCAGAGGACTGTTGAAGCTAAGGAGGAGGGAATGCGAGGCCACTGCCTCTTTGAAGCCCAATCGCCCCCTTTTTGGGAGCCTGTCGGCCGCCCTAAGTGAAGGCAAGCTCGACGAGGCCCCTCAGGGCCTTATTTCGACCACTGCGCAACTAAGGAAATTCAGGCAGTTGCGTAGCGCCAGTTGGTCGAGAAAACCCAGGCCTTGGGCCACCTGTGTGAATGAATGGAAAGCAGGCCCTGGGCTGGATACGGGTACTGGGCCAAACACATGCCAAAGGCAATTGGGTGCATTCAACCACCTCAGGCCCCAGGCCTGTTCTCGATCGTGCTGGGCCTTAGGCTACGGGGGCCTACTGGAAGCTTCCTGGGACTGGACGCAGGCAGGCCACTTCGATATAGCAAAGGGCCTGCCTCCTCATTCGGTATTCGGGTGCTGGCTGCATGTTGCGCTATTTGCTGGCTGGCACCTAACGCGCTTACGGGCGAGCAGGGAAGGAGCAGGCAGCCATAGCCGAGCTATGCTGCTGTAAGCTGGGTGTGGCGCAAGGCGGTCCTTGGGTGCAAGTGGCATCTGTGTGTTGGGGAACGAGGTTGTGAGTGAGGCGAGAGACATACCTAGTGCTGGAAGCGTGCGACATTGGTCGCTGTATGCTCGTACTTCGGAAAGTTGTTGTCGTCAACATCTGGCATTGTAGTCTAGGCTAGATAGGATCTGCCATCTGTAGTCTGGGCGCCGAGCGCCAGATAGGATATCAACATTGGTTCTTCATTGATGATGATGATGAGACTTTACCAACATTGTCAATTTTGAGCTCTTGGTGTCTTCTTATTTGGTGAAACTCGTGATGCAATTCTGCTGATTGGTTCGAGGTCACGACTATCTGGTCTTGTGTATATGGTGCTGTTTGATTGCTGAAGTTCGCTATTGCTCATCTTCCTTGCAGTGAGTTGATTATCCCCGCCGAAGGTTCTTTATTGACGGTCCGGTACTCGTCTTTCCCCCATAGGGCTGGGCTGCCCAACACAACCTCTATCGCGCACTAAGGTGGACAATGGACAAAGCAGCAAAGCATGCGTGCTCTACTCCCATTGGGTTGGCATAGTGACCGTGACCCAGTGCTTGGTCCAGGGCCCTCAGACGGCATCGCCCTCTCCCACCAGCATGCTCCCCAGGAAGAATGTCGGTTGAGCGCTCACGACTTCGCACAATGAGAGGACTCTCAAGACTGAACTCACTTCCTCACGGTAAAAAGCAATGAGGCGGGTAGCTAAGGTAAGGGGCAACGCACCTCACAATGCTGCCCCCAACCACAAATTTGTCACCAGTTGACCTGACGTGCATTTATGATGACCGGTCGCTTCCTCGGGACAACCCTCAATATAATGTAGTTCCACCTCAACTTAAATGCCACGTTAGCAAGCTCGCATCACAATGTACACCCCAATGTCACCACCATATAGCCTTCCTGGCGCGCCCACACGTCACTGGGCCGCCTAACAATCCAGCGACATAGCACAATCATTGCCGTGCATGCACACAGCACAACACCGATCAGCAAATGCGCTGGTGCCAGCGGAGCGGCTTGAACCGGCTCCGATACGAAATTGCAAGGAAAATGGGCAATAACGAAATGATAGAATTCCAAATTGCACTATCACATTGAAAGCCATGTAGTCATGAGCTGTCCAGAAAGCAGAAATGCACCAATATCACACCAAAGGAGACCAAAGCAATGAACTCAATTGCCAGTGTCAACCCTCTCTCGCCATTATCAACAGTGCGCTCAGTGCCCAGACTATGATCACACAGCTACTATACTAGCCTAAAACTACGATGAAGCAACCGGATGACATCAGCAGCAGAAACCAAGTACGTGCAGATGTCGCCCATGCAGACCAACGTGACGAACCAGGTATGCACTCTTTCCATCTCTCCCCCACTCACGATCTCGTCGCTCACCCTCGTCTTCTCCACCCACACTCATCTTCCATCAAAAGACCACCACCAAGCCCCGCTGGTGCCTTGCACCCAAGCCCGACTATGGCTGGCGTGGATGCGTTGCCACTTGCAGCGCACCGCTCCCATGGTACATGCCCTGTTGGGAAATGTATATGGAGCCAAGGATCCGCAAAGTGAGGAAAAGGACTCGAATGGACAATGCAGTGTCAGCAAAGCATCAACAAGCAATGTGCATCCAGATACATATGAAAATAGCATAATGTAGCGCAACGAAAGACTCAAAGGTATGGCCTGACCTGTCATATACTGATGCAACGTCCCATCATACACCACACATGCGAGAGAGGGAGGAGGGACTGCATACATGGAAGAAAGGTCCCTCCTTGCACACGCATACGGGGAAGGTACCACGGATGAGAGATGGGGGGAGAGGTGAGACGAAGATGGAGGTGATGGAGAAGACCAAGATCACTATAGCGAAGTCCAAAAATAGTCTCCCTGCCGAATGTCCAATCAATGTCTGCCTCAAAAATGTCAAATCAGATCCTGGGCATCATGCTTGATGTAACCTCTGCCTGTGACCTCTCTCTCTCTCTAAAAGAAGGAGGAGGAGGATGAAAGAGGGAGAAGAGATGGAGGGCGAGGCGAAGAAGAAGAAGAAGACGCCGTGCTCTTCGCTGTCTCACGTGCAGGTAACTGCCACCATGTACTAATTGCTGTCATGGTCCTTGTGCAGGTGGTCGGCGTGGAGCGCAGCTATGGCGCCCAGGTAAGTACCTCCGCCCCGCTGCCTACCTACGCCTCTACCTATACCTTCAACGGAGAGCTGATATTGCAGTGCTGCTCCAGCAGCATGTCGTGCAAGAAGTGAGTTACTCGAACTGTATGTCCAACCGTGGCCCAGCTATAAGTAGCGTTGGGCCGGCTGGTCTGCCTTTGTGAACGTGCCCAAAACGTGGCCCTACAGGGTGTGGATCCCGACCAGACGTCTAGACCCTGTACCTGGACAGGGGAGGCCTGCCTCCGGATGAACCAGGACCAAGGCGCTATCTTGGGAACTGCAGGTCTGAAACGACACCTGAACGGAAAAAAATAGGACAGCAAACAAATAAATAAATAATTAAATAAATGAATGCTGCCTCAAAGTGAATCCTGCGGCCTAAGGGCCAGCCGTGGGCCTCCAGGGCGCGCGTCCAAAGGGCATGCGTCCTGGGGGCCCCCAGCAACCATCGGGCCCCCAAAACGGGGCCCGTGTGCAGGCCCAACATGTAACACCTCCCCCTCCTTATGAAGTCAAGCCGGGTCGAGGGCGAAGCTGGTGATCTGATGGTGGAAGTTGGATGCGAGTATGACGTGAAGCCAAAGGTACGGGCTTGCCTTCTAGCTTGTGTTCGTAACATGTGAGGACGTTACGGGTTGTTGCCCGAAGTTCCGCACAAGTCAACCAACAGTCACCCTTGTGGCTGCAATATGAAAAATGTATTAAGTACTCAATCGGCTTGTTGTCGTAGCATCGTTGGGAGATGATGTCGTAGACCTCCTGAAAATCGTCAATCGATGGTGGGTCTTGCGATCGTCCCCCGAGAAAGTCGTGTTCCGCTGAAACGAACATAGCTAACTTAGAACAATGAAAAACCAGGTAGACGGGCAAGTGGGCGGGCACGTGAATCCCTACACTTACAGAAATCGCTATTCGGTATGTGAGATTTGGCCGCTCCGGGCCACCTGCAGTCTACCGGCCGACGGTCCGGATTTCCACGCGATCTTAAACCACTAGTACCTTTCCCGCGTGGGAAAATAGGGAAAACTGGTTGTTTTCCCAATCGCCTGAATTTTTGGAGGTCGGGCCCGACGACGACTGCCATTGATAAATCTGATCGGCGACCGTCGTTTCGTTTCGGCCTCCGAAACGGTCGGAGGACCACTGGAGGCCTGCTATTTTCCAAGCGGCAAAGGTAGTAGTGGTTCAAGATCGCGCAAAGATCCAAGCTGTCCAGCAGGTCGGACAGTCTGCATCATCGCGCGATCTTAAAGTCGCACGGAAATCCGGACAGTCGGGCTAGTAGGGCCGCGTGCGGCCCAGATTGGTGCACCCGTTGGAAATAGGGCCCGTTGTAGGGCGCCGCTTTCCCTGCATTGAAGTCCAACGTGCCCTCACGCCTGCCCACCTCGACTCCGCCATCAGCTCCCACCTTCCGCCTTCGCCCGCCTCCCTTCCGCCTCCTCCAACCATCTCCCCTCCGCCACCGCCCACCATCTCCTCTCGGCCTCTGCCCACCATCTCCACTCGGCCTCCGCCCACCTCTTCTCTGCCCGACGCCCACCTCGCCTCCACCCCGCCCACCTCTCCTCCTCCTCCTGCCATCTCCTCTCCGCCTTCGCCCACCTCCCCTCCGCCACCACCCACCATCTCCTCCTTGCCTCCAGCCACCTCTTCTCTGCTCGGGGGCCACCTCGCCGTCGCCTCCGTCCGCTGGTCCCCTCCCCTCCACCTCCCCCCACCCCTTGGGATTCCTC